CAGTAAGGGATAGGAGCTCTTCATGGAACTTACGTATAATTAGAAAGTGAACTCATATTCCAGGAGATACTAAGCACATACATGAACACATGACATATTTTAACAAATTCATATTAAACTGCCAGAAGCCTAACTATTCTGTGCTATTATTACATTGGTCCATGCTGTTATTACAATGACTTGTAGACATATTGACATGTGCAGTTGCTCACCCATAATTATGGGACTAAACTGGGATGTGATAAGAAATCTAAAATGCGTCAACAGTCTTGGGGTGCTTGTCAAAATAGGGATTGTTTTACAAAACAGGTTTTTAATATTTTTTAAATAGTGGGATACAAAAGTGTCTCCATTCCTTTCCTGCATGTTTTTGTAGATAGCAGCCTGATCACTAGGAGAGGGAGAAAAGCAGAGGAAGAGCCAGTATGCAAACAGAAGTGTGCTTTGTGGTACCAACAGCAGAAAGCCAGACAAAAGAAGAAACTTGGGTTAAATGGAAGAGGTGCAACATGAACCTGCTTTTTCCTCTTTTCCACAAAAATATTTTTTGCTTATAAGAAATAACCCTTTAAAAATACAGGGGGTATGCCAAAGAGAGAAGTCTACAGACAAGATAGTTTAGGTAGCACACTTATGCACAGCAACAGAGGACTCATATGTAACCTATCAGTGGTTTTAACACACACATTGAGCTATAGACAGAAATATTTTCTGATGAGTATGCTAGAGCCAGGCAAGGCTTCTAACATCAGTCAGAACTGCACACCCATCCACAAAAAGCAGAAGTCACACAGACCTTTTTGTCTTGTTATTCGAGGTGTAACACTTTTCCGTTTTAACAACAACAACAAAACAAGTTGTCAAAATTCTAATAGTGTTAGATATACAAGACTATATATTTTACTAGGATAAAAAAGGTATTTTTTCTCTGTACTTAAAAGAACATTGCTTCCAAATGAGTTTCTAGCAGATCTAGGGGCAAAACAAGAGAAAAAAAAGGTCACCAAAGGCTCTGAATTGTACCCTGGATCATTCTACTCACACAGGGCTTTACTGAAAGGTCTTCTGGTTTAATCCAACTTGACATCTAGTTTGACAAGCCTCTGTTTACATTCCTCCCATACAGCTAATGGGAAACAAAACACAAACCATACAAGGTAATGTTTTTGTCTGTCTACCAACACACACTTTCTTCTAACCAATACTCTCTTGCTTTGCATTCTCCACCCAAAATCCTTTATGGTAGTAACCCAAACAGCTTCAGGAGCAACTATTAGCCACTCAGCCAGTACCAGGCTGCTTCCAAGCTCTCCCTGGGAATGAGCAGCCCCTGAGGCCCCAAGCCAGTGGGTTTTCATTATCCAGACCAGAATGGGGTTTTTCTGATGCCAAAGGTAGCAAACACACTGCCCGCTCACCAGAGCTTGGAGTTGGTACATACATTCAAATGGTGGTGTAGGAAAGTTAGCCATTGCAGGCTCAAGCTGACTGGTTTTTTTCAGAAATGAAGTGCCATAAGTTGCTTTTGTAATTTGAGGGGATGTTGAAGAATATGTATGTGTTTCCCCTTCCTTGATATATATTGATATATATTGTCCAGAAGAAATCTGAGAGGACACAGTGGTTTGGCTCTATAAAATGTTCATGACTGGCTCTCTGATAGTATCAGCTGTCAATCTAGGGTTTTGTATATTTTATTTCATATCTTACTAGCAATTTATTAAAAGACTATGAGAGAAAGCACATGTGCAGGCTGCTATAATTTCAATAAGGCTGTGATTTTTCAAACAGTGTAGGAATGATAGATACAATTAAAATGCCACATTGCTGTCTGTATTCTGTTTTAGGCAACTGCCCTTTTTTGGTGTAGAAAGGAAAAGCAAAATCTGACCTGTAGCATCTCAGATGATGAGCATGATTGAGACTTGGCTTAATTTTTCAGATGCAAAGTGGATTTGGAAGGACTGGTACTTAGGAGAAAAAAAACAAATAAGTGAACAAGTCCCTTATTTTTCTCCTAAATGAAGAGAGTGCTAGGAAGTAAAACAAACCGCAGAACTTGATACTATCTCTTCCTGATGTTTGTCAGAATAATATACTTTACAGGGTGGCACCATTCCTTTGTTCAGAACCGCCATTTTTCCATGCCTGATAAGTCATCCTATGTTTATATTTTCCTCTTATGCTACTAGACTGCTTTTCCCTGTGGGCTCATTACAGCTTGTTTCTTCTTGAGACAGAGCAATATGGTCCTCTGTCATAAGTCACCTAAAATGATAACAGGAATAGTACCTGTGTGTTTTGGCTTGCAGTTTGACTGCTGTTTGGGATGAGTATGTCAGGGAATTTTAGTCTACAGACAAGTTTTTTTTTCCCCTTGATAATAGATAAATGGTGCTTTGAGACAGCTGTCAAATTGGGGAGAAAAGCAGTGATATTCTCCCAAGGCCTGTCTATAAAAAGAGATCTGCTTTTTGGTCTTTAGCATGCCTTGTTCTATCTGGTTTTGACTTCGCTTCTTTTGGGGAAGAAACAACAGATGGTAGTATTACCACATGCCTTTAGCACTCTCAAAAAAGATATCACTAGCAGTAAACAGGGCAGATCTGTGGATCCTCCCTCTTATTTTTTGCACACGAGAGACAGTTAACAATGTCAACATTTAAATGATTGTCAGTAGATGTGGGTTAACACCTTTCCTGGCTCTTAGTTGACCTTATTTTCAATGAAGGACAGTGTACTTCTCCACCAAGAGAGCAACCGGATACAGGATTACATGGGCGTTGAAGCACTGTTGTTTTTAACTCCTTATAGGTGGTCAGCATCAATTCCAGGAAAAGATATAAGATTAACCCTGCTAATCCACTTCGAGATCAAAGCTTTAATTAAACTCCTGGTAGAGATGAGATAGAAAATCTGTCTTGATGTAAAAACATGCTTTATGGGAATGGAAGCATTGTTTTAAGAAAAGGTTTAATATTCTCACATTAGTTTGCAGCTTTCAGAAGCCCTCCTGATACCTTCATCTCATTCCTGCCAAGATGCTTGTAACCTTACAAAAAGTTAAGATTTAAAAAAAAAAAATCCTTGAGTTTTTAAACAGAATATTGTGCATTTTCAGTATAAGCAAAGAGAGCCCCTCTGAATTTTGCCAGTGTTTATATGCACACTGTCTAATGTCATCTTCTTTTGAGGGTTTGCTTTTTTATTTAATGTAAATAGGAAAACCCCATCAACTCCAGACAAAACTTTCTCATGAGAATGGTTCTCCCGAGGGGTTCTCACTGTGAAATCTGCATCGCTTTTAGGTCAAACACAAACCTCATTATATTTATAGGGTAAAGCCTGAAGGTCCTACCTTTTTTGACAGGCAGCATGACTCAGCACGAGAGCTCTGCATGTGTTTCCACAGTCCTAGTAGCTAAATTAAATTTTTAAAATACCATTAATATTTTCATTAATAAGAATTGTTAATACTAATTTGTAAGTGAAATCCCTTTGTTTCCTGTTACTTTTTAATTAGAAGATTCAGGCATTCTCCCCTGGGCATGGGGACACTGAAGCAGCATTGTCTGGTTTGGTTGCTAGTGTTGCAGAGCATTACACAGTTGTTGGAATCTCCTGTTATGCTTTGGTATCTCTGAAATACCAGCCCTTTGAGCAGGCTGTTCATGAGGAACTAATACATTCACACACATATTCCAGGTATGCCTAACCTTTCTGGTCTACAAGCCGTACAGCAATCCATGTCTTGTGGCAGAGCACCCCAGGGTAGGGACCCCAGAGAGCTGCTGACCACCTGCTTTCCTCAGCTGGGGGTGGGAGTTCCCCCATTGCCCCAAGTTCTGCACACCCCCGTGCTGGGCAGGGGATGTAGCCCCGGCGTGGGAGCTGAGCTGGAATGGTTCACAAGGATCACATTAATCGAAAGCCGTAGGTCACCCTCCTCCTTACTGTATGTCACTTAGCAGAATAAAACACTCACAGCCCTAAGTGAGGAACATGTACATTAAACCTGTTCTGTTAAATGATAGGGGATTTAAACATAGCTTTGCCTTTGCTTATATAACCGTTTGTCAGTCTGAGGTGTATATAGCACTGTGTTCCCTGAGATGTTGGCCAGTATTCAAAAATGTCAATGCCTACACTTCCTCACATGTAAGAAAGGAGATAATCACATTGTGGGGAAGAAAGTAGTGTGCGAGTTGTTAAAAATTTAACCTAATTTCTATTTCATTTTAAATCAAAAGCAGTGTAGTAATACTGCACAAGCAGACCTCTGGATTATTTTTTTTTCTTTCCAAAGGTTAATTAGTGCTTGATTTAAAAAGCTTGGCATTGACATCATGACACTGACTGACATCAGGTACTTTTGTAAGAAAAAAATTAAGTGATGGGAAATCATATCAGAAGAACAAACAGAAGACCTGCTTGGCTTCTTGTGTAGTCATCAGTAAAGTATCTGAGTCTTACTACAAAGTATAAAAGAGTGAGGCAAATTTCAGAATGTACCTTTTAAAAAACCAGGAGGTATACATTTATAGTCTGGCTTTCAGTCAAGTATTAATCAAGTCTGGATTTTGCCTCTGTAAATGGCTGATGCAAATAATTGTAGATCCAAGTTTCTAACAATAACATTTATAAAGATTTCAGTCATCTCAGTATCTGATGGGAACATCCACATACATTTGTCATAAATTGTCCACCTACAGACTGCCCAAAGCTACCTGAACAGTGGTTTGAATCTGCTGTTCACAATGAAAAACCAGGGCTGAGTACTGATCGTATTCCCTGTTGACACAGAAGCAAGTTACTCTATGTCAGCTGCCTCTCTGCAACTGCTTATATGCCAGAAAGACAACACTTAAAAAATACAAGTTTTACTAGAAAAGCTGATAAAAGATCAAGCCACAAGATGGACAGAACTGTAACATGAAGGAAAGCGTGGGCTTTCCTTGGAGGGGTCTAACACTATGTCTGTCCTTATTGATTTTTTCAGAATGGCAGAGACTCATGGTTTGATGGAGAGGCTGGAGAAAGCAGTGACTCGACTTGAATCACTGTTTTCAGATTCACACGCATCTGGTGGAATGGGGTGTGATGCGATCAATGGAGTCAATGGAAGTAAGTCTGGTTTTTTGAAGTACCATTCTTCTGCTATTAAAAAATTAGCTTTCAAGTAGAACACTTATCTTCTTAGATGATGTTTATCTTATAAGAGGGAGTGCAATTCCACTCCTCACAAATTATCAAAAGTAGTATTTTTAAAAATCTATTTGGAAATGTCATATGACAAGCTTAGTTGTACACAAAATTAGAAATTAGTATAGCCTAGATAATTCAAGATTTGACTAATGTCTTAAATATACTGTCCATATTTCAAGTTTTATTGCTCTTTCTGTGTTAGCGTTTATATTGCGGTAGATAACTCACTGGATGAAAATGTCTGCTCAAGCCTTAGTAGCAGAAGGAATAAGACATCCCCCAAAATTTACAGCATAAATAGTCCTGAAGAAGTCAGCAATATAAACGCTGAATTTATTGGCCAGCTCTCTGAATTCTGCAGTGCAGACCTACTTCAATTAATTGTTTAATATGCTTAATCAAATATGAGTTTGTTAAGAAGGATTTGCTCACTAACGGCTGCCACACATCCATGGCCACCTTTTGTTATTTCTAGAGCTCTCCCTTCTCAAGTGGATCTCTAAATCGCTATGCTGGAGTAGACACTAAAAAAGTCTATCCTCATTTATTCACAACGTGTCCACAAATTGTATTTTTTCACGCCTTATTTTTTTTGTTGTTCCCCCTGAAATTACAGGGTAAATAACCTTATAAATGTGGTGATTCTAATGTTGATTGAGTAGAGGTGCCCTTTCCTTTCTCCAGAGCTTGTTTTTTCACCCAGAACCCCAACATATATCCCTTTATTAGCTTCATGTCCTTGGCTTCCTGTATTCCTTGTCCCCTTCCTGCATTCTCCAGAGAATGCACATGCCAGCCTGGACACAGTTGCTGTGCAGAATGTGCAGAGCAATCAGAAAGTTGCAGGCAGCTTCCATACTGACACAGAAGCACATCAGTGTATGTCAGCTGCTTTATTGTCCCCGTATGCCAGACCTTACCCAACACCACATGCGGGGGACCTTCCCCACAGTCACATGTGCCGTGGGCCCACACACTGGCAGCTGCTGTGGAGCAGCTGAGTGAAAGCAGCGTGTTTCTGTGGCAGAAAGGGAGCGTCTTCCAGCAGGCTTCCAGAGCAGATGAGTTCACCCGTCAGAGTGAGCTTCAGTAATAAAATGCATACACTCCAGAGAAAACTTAGCTAGGAAACTGTGGTGAGGTCATGGAGAAAGACGATCCATGTACGAACTGACAAATCAATCAGTACTAGGAAATCTACATTTTTAGAAAATCCAGGCTTCAATCCTATCATGAATCCATTTAGGTGAATCTCTGCATTAATCCAGAGCTCAGTATTGCAGAACCAGGGCTGCTTTCAGGACAGGAGATGAACTCACCACGGGAGGTACTTCCATGAAATTTGCTCTATCCTTGGCCTAACCCAAGAGCTCAGTCGGATGAAAAGAAGGAAGCAGAGCCTTAAAACCCCAGCAGATCCCTAGAATAAACCAACTGACAAACCTTGTTGGAGTGAGATTCTAAAACACACCCACAGGGAGACTGCAGGAAGAAGCTGAGATGAGCGGCACCACGGGGCACTTGCCAGCCTGCCCCACGTCTCCACACGGAGCTGTCTCACACAGGGACCCAGGAATTACCTTTTGCTGATGCAGTTAGGAAAGACTGTACTAGTTCTTCAGTTTGGGCAACTGATACGCATATAGTGCCCCAGACATCATTGTGTAGGCCTGTGTTATTGTGCTTCTGCAGAGATTCACATAACCTCCACAGCAACTGCAGAGCTGACAGTCTTTTTCTCCTTTAAAACTGACACTCAGCCAGAGTTTGACCAAGTCTCTAGTGGAAGATATATTGCTCTCTTCTACCATAGTTAGAATTGTTACAGAAAATAACCTTGACTTTTCAATTAATACTTTTTCAGAAACAACAAAATAACAAGGAGGATGGGAGAATAGTACCTTTACTATTTTCCTAAATGGTATTACAACAGTGGCATTGCAAACAAATCATTCCATTGCTCTGCACTGCCCACAGCAAATTCTAGTAAATGCTTCTGGGAGTTAGCTGTACTGAATAGTAAAAAATAGCATAGTTGCTCTCTAGTTTTGCACAGGACAATTGCCATTTGGTGAACTGCTATTTAAAACTCTGCTCTAGAGTAAAAGGTTACAGTGATTCTCTTGAAGACATATACAGATTTTGACAAAGAACATAAATAGGCTTTGGAAAGCATCTCCACAACTACAGCCTTTTGTACACTAGGTCATTTGAGGGGTTTACACATAAACACTTAATATGGAAGAAGGCCCAGAAATTCCTCAGAATTAAAGGTGAGTGACATCAGGAGAACAAAAGAAGCCTTGAAATCCCACCTAGCTGACTAATTACATATACAGATTTTGACAAAGAACATAAATAGGCTTTGGAAAGCATCTCCACAACTACAGCCTTTTGTACACTAGGTCATTTGAGGGGTTTACACATAAACACTTAATATGGAAGAAGGCCCAGAAATTCCTCAGAATTAAAGGTGAGTGACATCAGGAGAACAAAAGAAGCCTTGAAATCCTGCCTAGCTGACTAATTACATTTTTTTTTTCACACAAGCCATTGGAAACTCCCATTGCCAGAGCCTTTCTTTTTTCTGTCAAGGAGCCAGATGACTCTTGTGGAATAAAGAGGGCTTTCAAGATTATGAATTTGGACACAATTGTCATATAGTGCCAAAAGGTTAAAGGAAACTCTCTGGGGAAAGCCTGGTACCTCTTCAGAGCAATTTTCAGGCTTCACTAATGAGGGAGAGAGGCTGGGAAGAATTTTAACCTTGGTCTCTCAGATCCTACAGAATGCCATAAATTCATACATGTGTCGCTTGTGCTGGACCTCGCAAAGGTTTTGAGGCATAGACAAGACATGAGGATATGTCAAGGAGTAAAGGGAGGGCTGGAAAGCATCCAAGGGAAGATTACTTTTGCTGTCTTAAAAAAGTACCACATAAAGCTATTTAGAAGCCAGATGCATAAGAAACTGAGTCTCATCTGCATTTTCTGATGTCTGCTTTGTCAGGAAAGTGCTCTGTATGCCATAGAGAAAATAGCATTTTTATTCCTTTGTTAGAATGTATAGCATATGTATAGTAAATGGGATGTGTCATCTAGAAGACTTGTTTGAGCTTTCCTTATCCAGTGACAGTTCTGCAAGGTCAGACAACAAAATAAGGAGATTACAAAGCCACATCTCACTGTCAACAGATTCTAAAGACTCTGTCTTACTGGAAATTGAATTGCTTGTTATTAAAAGCCACCAAAATAATACAGAGATCTTCAGGAATGGGTGGGTGGTATAAAAATAGTTGTTCAGTACAATGTGGATTCTTTTTAGAGGACAATATTTGTTTTATGTAAAACAGTAGAATTTTGTTAAGACAATCATGCTTATCAGGCCACTAGGCCTTTGAAAGACTGAAAAATGTTTATTTTAGCACCTGTTATTTTAAGACAAAAGAGGCTTCCCACTACATTACACAGAGTAAATCCTCTTCATGTTTTCAGCCAAGTTCTACCAAGAGCAGGGTTTTTTTCTTTCTATCTAGAAAAAAATCATTATACATCCTTTTTCACAAATCAATGAGTACAGCAGAAATTAAGTTACTGCAGTTTCCCCTGGTTTGTGGTATTTATGCTCCGTCTACTATAAAGGAATGTCCTATGCATTATGTACCTTATGAACCTGTTATAATGGAGTGCTCTTCTTCCATAGGCATAGCACCGTATGTTGAAGCCTTTGATAGGCTGCTGAACGGAAGTGTTGCTGAGTTTCTCAGGTACAGCAAGATTCTTGAAGGTGACGTGAAGACACATGTGAGTATTTTCACAGATTTTCTCCCCATGATATAAGCATAGAAGTCTTGAAATCTGTGTGATCAGCCTTGACTCCTGAGTAGAGGAGAGTCTTAATAGCAGTGATCGGAATTATTAGTTCTTGTAGTGGTAATAAACTGGCATAATACACTGAGCACAGTTAGTTCAAGAAGGGCAAAAGGCTGTATGGATTCATAAGAAGAGACTGCTCCTCTTTTACAGCACCAAAGGTCGAAGACCATAGTGTGCAAAATATATAAATATTGTCAGTCACAAGCAATTTGAATTGTCGTGTTGGCTGCTAAGCCCTTTGCATGACAGGAACACAAGAGTCAACAAATGAGTAGTAAACAATAGGTGGGTTGGAGCAGTGATAACTTCTTGTGGTTGTCTTCTAAGCATGTGTATCACCATTCCAATTAATGTCGAGATTTTGTTCTTTTGATTGATTGTTTTTATTACTCACATCTCTTTCATTTGGAACAACATAGCAGACTAAAACTCCAGTATGTCAGACATTTAAGTGACCCTTTTTTACCACGTATGTCATAGCAAGGAAGCACTATGCTATTATTTCCATTATTAAATTACTTTGTAACCTTATCATATCTTGTGATCAGAGCTTGTTTGTTTCACTTTATTTTTAAAGTCTGTCTTCTCTAAAACCAGTGGTGATAGAATGACAAAGGATGGGCTCACTAACAGTTTATCGATATAGATTTTGAAAAAAAAAACAAACCACACACAAAACACACAGGGCCACTTTGAGCTGGATCTGGAGGACTATGAAGCTTTTGACTTTTCCTAATAGCTCCCTGCCATCAGGCCTTTCTCGACATGTCCATTTCCCAATTCATTGCAGCTGCTGCTCTACATAACAGACACTGTAGCCAGAAAAACATGCAGTCCTACAGGCTACTGGGATTTATGCTGCAAGGCCAGCATAAATATTTTGCAAGACGGCCAAAGTAACCAGTCTACTAACAGAGCAAGAGCTGTGAACTGTGTTTTCTCTGTGGTGTTATGTGTTCTTGTTGGTAGGGTAGAGTTTCTGACCTAGTTAGGCCTAGAAAACTGGAGGGAGCAAGGAGATCGGGCAATTTTAGAGGATCTTTTTGTTTCTAAGGAAATGCCGCACTTCCTTTTTATTTGAAAAAGCCTTTTCAACTTAACAGTTATAGTATAAGCTACTATAGATGTACTTTGTTCTTAAAATAAATTAGGGAATAATTAATAAACTGGGGGTGGGAGTGGAATTATCCACCTAACTGAGCAGAGAATTTCTCCCTGGAAAGCATCTGTTCTAGCTTTGGTCATTACATTCATTAGACACCATTATTTTACAGCTGATTTCTCAACAGTCTAGATCTGAGATACAGAAATAGCCTTAGCACCAACACTAAGCAGGAGAAAAAAATGACATTTAGCATTCTAAATAACTAAAACCTTTTTAATACACACTATCTGTAAATGTTTAAATCATAAGTGTATTAATTTATGCATTTGTCACTGTTCGATACTCATAATTGAGTCCATCTAAAAGATTATTAATCATTTATCTGCCAAGCCTGTGAATAGTCCCTAGCATAATGTTGATGAGAGTGTAATGCAAACTGTGATAAGGAGTATTTGTTAGGACTATGAGATTAGACATAAACAACTTTCCCTTACATAAAGAAACCAGTGATTCTGATTGCAGCCTATTCAATATTCTGAAATCTTAGATTCTGAATTTACAACATGAAGCAGACTGTGGTTGCCTTATGCTCATGCTTATCACTGAAGCAACATCTGTGCTTTACCTTAACAAGTGGAACAAGGAGTATTTTTCTTCTGGGTGTCTTATAGACCATGTGTCCTCAGCATTATACTTGCAGCTGCTCTCTCTTTCACATAATGAATTGAAGGGAAGGTTGTATTTTATTTCAAAAAACACCTGTTGCCTAGAAAAAACCTTGCATACCTGACTGACCAGAATGGTAATATGAGAGAAAGAGAGACTTCATATTATGCTAAAAAAAAATGAGGGATTTAACATGATGCGTTTCGTGCTGATTGATGTAAGGATTGTGTGGTTTGTGTTTCTGGTGAAAGGAAGAATACAGCCATAACTAATGTCTGTTGGGGAGCCCCATTCCTATTTTTTTCTGCATGCTGTACTCTAAATAGTCTATTGAAAGAGAACAAAATAATAATAATAAAAAAGAATAGTTAGCTCCTGGCTCTGTTAAACACAGCAGTACAGTGGATTTTACAAAGATTAGTTTATCAAAGAAGAGTTCTGCTCAGATTCAATGTTGAGAGCAGCGTATTTCTCATTGAAATTACAGTGCATGCAGTGGTGAATCGCTTGAGGTCAACTGCATTAAAGAAACGAACCACTTTTTAGAAGACAGACAGAGAGAATAGCTAGGGTTTTTACTTAGTCTATTTAAAGCAAATTATCCTAGACGGTTGAGATGAGGTCCTTTTCCTGTCCTGTCACTGCAGAATAAAAATCTGGTGATTATATGGGTATTTCTATGAAATACAAATTCCACTACAGGCACAGATTTCCTGAAACCGCTTTCTGCTGTCCATGTCATAACTAGCACATGAAATCAGTGAAAGAGTGAGTATGGCCAGGACTGCTGCCAACCACCTGTCTTTGGCCTGACATACCAAAGTCTTGGAGGCGGCCACCAACTACTACAGGTTCTAACAGCCCCGAAGCTGACTCACCATGTGTGCCAAGACCAAACCATCCTGCTGTCAGAATGAGGGAAATTCAAAAGCCATGTAAAATGGACCGTGGGTCTCCAGCACAGGCAGTTCTCCTATGCTCAGCCAACAGGATAGCCCTGGCTGATTGCTGGATCACAGAGACAAGTCCCATCACTTTGCCCAAGTGCATCCACCACTACAGAAAATGTGCTGGGGATGACAAAGAGCTCCCTGTGGAAGACATGGTCTAGCTTTAGATTGTGTCCCAGTGAAGAGCTGGTCAAGCAGGTTTGATGCGCTCTTTGCCCTGTCAAAGCGAAGCAAGCAAAATTTTAGATGGCCAAGAAGCAGGTTTTTGTGAGGTATTTATTATAAGCTTCTTCACATTGTTTTTGTTTATGTGACATCTCAAGTGGTGGAATACTTTGGCTTGAGTTTGAATAATGTACCAGATGAGACATAATGATAAGAAGAGAATGTACTAGTTGTACAAGAGAAGACAACATAAAATTTCCATATTGTAGTATTTTATGTGGTACTGAGCAGAGCAGAATTACAGCCTTCCTGTCAAACACATAAACTAATACTTGCCCTTTTTTATTGTTTAATTGTAAAAACCTTTTAACCTCCCAAGCCCACCAGTTGAAAAAACAGATTATCTGAATGATTCAGTTATGTTCCCTCTTCTCTCATCCAAGCTATTTATCTTGGAAAGGAAAACTACAGAAATATGGATGCCTTTTCCCTCCTCTCTTCCATCAACTTCCAGCTGCCAAAATGCAGAGCTCCGACTGACAACCAACTTGAAGCATTCAGAAAGAGAAAGGCTGTTGGTTAACTTGCTCCTTACTGGAAGAGAGTTTAGATACAACTCATGACACGTATGACTATATGAACAAGACAGCATGGAGCAGCGGTTCTCAGCACGTTATCCAATCTGCAGGGGTTCTCTGTGTGCGTGCACCATTTTATCATCATGAGCAGGGGCAGCAACATTCACCCCACAAACTCACAGAGCTTCTTTTCCTTATCTATTACATGAAAGCAGTGGCATTCTCCTTTCCTCTCTCCAGTCATAGCCCATGTAAATATGACAGACAACTGAAAGCAGGAGTTCTCTTTTATGAGGTATATATGCACTTTGAAAAGTGCAGCTCCAGCTTGGCCTGTCAGTGAAGTTAAAAAATCCCAGCTTCCTCATTCTTTCCAAAGGGTAGTTATTACTCATGAAATAGCTGTGTCTTCGTTTTTTTCTTGTGAAAGGTGCTGAAGAATTAGTCAGTGACTTTCATAGCCCTGAACTTTGAACAGGATGTGCTGCTGTCTGCGATACACCAAAAAACACTTTTGCACTTTATCTTACCTAATCTAAACACAGACTTTCAAACCCATTATTTGACTGATTCCTCGTTAACAAGGCAATTTGCTTACAGGGCAACAGAATGCACGAGTATACTCTCATGTTCCTCTTTTGTGCCCAGAGGCTGTGCGGTTTTAGGCATTGTGTTGAAAGTTGAATTGGAGCTCAGAGAGGAGGATGATGTCAACATGCCCAAAGAGAAGCTTGCTGTCAGGCTGCCTTTGCATTTCTGTGATAGGTATTTTCTGCTACATGAAGTAAACACCAAACCAAGTAGCTACTACAGGAGTGGGAAAAACAGAATACATGAAAAAAAATAAAAAGACAAATGTTTTTTACAGCATACAAAATGCTCTCAGCTCAAAGAAAGAGACTAAGTGTAGAAAACAGTACTGTTATCCACCAAAAGTGAAAAAAACAAATAATTGTCAACCAAAAAAGCAAACTTGGAAATCTAGTGATATAAAGGTTGATTTTGTCATGCTAATTCAGCTATATTTCTCACCCTGTATGTGTTCTACAAGATATTTCATAACATAAGCAATAAAGAACGTTCACTTTAATACGACAAGAAAGATGGAAATGCAGTATACACAATGTAGCCAAGTGGCTAACCCAGAAAAAGTATCATTTTTAGGAGCTTTACACCTTTGATTGTTCCAAAGGACTACTTCACTTGTGGCCTGGGGACAGGATCTGGCTTTCAAAACAAGCAGGATTTGTTGGGTCAGGTGTAGTGGTGTGCAGATGTGGTTGCACCTTTCTGACTGCAAGACACCTGGTTGGGAATAAAGATGGGTCCTGAAACATGAAGAACGTGTCCATTGGAGTCTAGACCAACACCCACTGAAAGAGTGGGAGTATTTCCATTAATTTTGACGGGAGCTGGATCAGGCTGTTAGTTTCTTGACACTGACGTTGAAGTAAATACCACCTG